AGATTCAAAGGCAGATTACAGCAGGCAGAAGAAAGAATTAGTGATCTTGAAGATAGGACAATGTAAATCATTGAATCTGAGCAACAGAAAGAAAAAAAAAATGAAGAAACACAAACAGAGCCTAAGAGACTTGTGGAACACCATTAAGTGGACCAACATATTCATTGGAGGAGATTCAAAAGGAGAAAATAGAGAAAAAGAAAGAAATGAAGATAAAGGGTAAGAGAAATGAAATAACAAAGATAAACAGAAATTAACAATAAAACTATAATAGGGAAAATCAATACACTCAAATGTTGGATAAAAATTGATAAACTCTGGGAAAGCTGATCAAGTGGAAAAAGTGAAACAGCACAAATATACAATGTCAGGAAAAGAAAGGGAACATTACTATGGATGCTGTATATTTTAAATAACTTTATGCTAAAGAATATAAACATTTGTATGGAAAAGACAAATCTACACAGAATACAGCTAATCAAACATATTCAAGAAGTGAAAGACAAGGAAGAAAAGAAAAACCTTAAGTAATTCAATAATTGTTAAAGAAATCAATTTGAAACCTTTCTGCAAAGGAAACTCGAGGCTCAGATGACTAGAGTACTTTCTAGAACATTTAAAGCAGTGGGTCTCAAAGTATGGTCCCCAGACCAGAATCATCACCTTCACCTGGGAATTTGTTAGAAATGCACATCATCCAGTCTACCACAGACCACTGAATTGGAAACTCTACAGGTAGGGCCTGGCAATCTGTGTTTAGCCAGCCCTCCAGGTGATTCTGATGCACAAAAAAGTTTCACATTCTCTTATTTAAAGACAAGTACTCTTCTTCACAAACTCTTTCAAATGAAAGAAAAAGAATCTACATTTTCAGCTCGTTTAATGAGGTTATCATATCCTTGAAATTAAAACCTGGCAACCGTATAAAAATATTGCAACTGAATTTCATTCATGAACATAGATACTAAAATACTAAACAAAATTTTATCAAATAATACATTATAACCAAATTTGGATTATTCCAAATTGGAATAATCCAAGAATGCAAGGATGGTTTAACATTAGAAATTAATCAGTGTAACTTAACATACTAATACAATATGTTAATTAGCATAATTTAACATAATAATATAATGTGTTTGCAAAGTTATGAAACATAGAAGAAACTTTTTTAAAACAGTATGTTACTTCAATATTCTACAAATATGATTATTAGCCTATCAGGCAAAGTACCTTTAAATTTGAAGCAGCGTTCTAATTGTTAACCTGAAAAAAGTGTAATAAATACATTATACAATTTCCAGGAAATCTGGAAATACATGGAGAATAGTGTATTTATTTTATTTTTTTCTGATTAATAATTTGATCCATTGCTTTCAGTTTAGAGGTACTTCATTCAAATAGGTGTCAAGAGGTTGAAGAAAAATTGAGCATATGAAGACTCAGAACACTTAAGCAGTTTTCTTAAGTAAGTTGGAGAACTGCAGTTAACACTGGGTTTGTCGACTCCAAGTATCTTGCTATCCTTTCTACTATATCACACTTCTTATGGCACTTACTCAGAATGACCACACTCCTTTAAGTATTCTTGTTTCACACTTCAGCTACATGAGTGGACTGGGAGGTAATGGAAGCTTACAAAAAAATGTTGGTAACTGGAGGCTTACAAAAAATGTTGGTAACATTTACAATAAACACCTGTTATCCTGAAGTACTCTGAACCTTGATATCACATGGGGAAACAGACATTGAATGACTTATTACAAGTGTGATGAATATTTAAAAGGAAAAGCATGAAGGGATATAAGAAAATTTAATTTTGTTGTGGGGGTTTTCAAGCAAGGCTGTACTGAGGAAGTGATATGAACTGAGTTATGAAATATTTATTTTCTTTTTTTTTGAGACAAGGTCTCCATCTGTTGCCTGGCCTGGAGTGCAGTGGCACAATCACGGCTCACTGCAGTCTCAACCTTCTAGGCTCAAGTGGTCCTCCCACCTCAGTCTCCTGAGTAGCTGGGACTACAAGTGTGCACCATCATGCCCGGCTAATTTTCATAACTTTAGTAGAGACAGAGTTTCACCATGTTGCCCAGGCTGGTCTTGAACTTCTGGGCTCAAGTGATCCACCCCACCTTGGCCTCTAAAATGCTGAGATTATAGGCATGTACCACCATGCTTGGCCTTGAAATGCATATTTTCTATCTTCATGCACTTTAACTAAGTAAGAATCCCTCCCCAGCACTTTCTTAGTGTGACTCAAACTCTATGGTACTAGGCTACCACCATCCTTTCCCATCAAGACCTCTTGAGATTTTGGCATCCTTAATCTAAGCCAATACCTCACCAGTGGCTTTGGAACCATCCAACTAGAACTTAGGTGGCAAAATAAAAGTTGTGGGAGCATGCATTGGAAGGGACATGCACCAGCTGATTTGCATCTTCTTTTTTGTAAATAATGAAGTGCCAACCAGAAATTAACTAAATCCTGAATAGACAGTGAGCACAATTATCAAAACATAGGGGCTTTCCACTCCCTTTCTTTTATTGCTCCTTTCTTCCACTATTGCTCTTCTCTCTTTGGTACTTCAGAATCTTGTAGAGTTCTGGCAGGGCTCATTGGCTCACGCTTATAACCCCAGTGCTTTAGGAGGCCAAAGGCAGATCACTTGAGGTCAGAAGTTTGAGACTAGCCTGCCCAACATGGCAAAACCCCATCTCTACTAAAATATAAAAATTAGCCAGGCATGGTGGCACATGCCTGTAGTCCCAGCTACTTGGGAGGCTGAGGCAGGAGAATTGCTTGAACCCAGGAGACGGAGGTTGCAGTGAGCTGAGATCGCACCATAGCACTCCAGCCTGGGCAACAGAGTGAGACTCTGTCTCAAAAAAGAAAAAGAAATATCATAGAGTTCTAGCTAGGCTATTTGTTTTCTCAGGAGCATTTGCATTTTAGCAGGGCACTTTTGAATAGTGAAAAGCCATTAAGTCATAAAGGAACGAATTTCTAATGGAATTGCAGTGGGTAACATAAAATATAGTAACATGGGGTTCAGGTGTGTATAAAATGAAAAAAATAAGGTGGGGAGGGAGTTCAAAAGAGTTATTGCAATACATTCTTCCATGCCACCTTTGAAGGCTTTTAGTTCTAATCCACTGACAAATTTTTGCTCTGCTATTTTTGTTGTAGTAATACAAAACAGATGTATGACTTAGAAAGGGGAAAGGACCTCTCCCTACTACGCAGTATATTACTAACTTGGAAACAGATTAAATCTCTTCGACAGCGACAAGGGTTTACAAGCACCCCAATAAAGTTACAGGTTCAGAGGTAAGTGGCTGCTCTATTTGCTCTTATTGGTCTCCTGAGGAACTGCTCATGAATAAGTAGGAATTCACAGTGACTAGGAAGACATCCAGAAGCTAGGAAACTATTCCACGTAGTCAACAAAGAATTTGTATCTCAAATATATAAACATATATATATATGCACATATATATTGAATATATAAAGTGGAATTCTTACAACTTAAGAAAACCCAATTAAACATGGGGAAAGAATTTGAACAGACACTTCACTCAAGAATGTATATGAATGGGAAATGAACACATGAAAAGATACTCAACATTGTCATGTCATTCTCTATTGTCATGTCAATAGAGAAATGCAAATTAAAACCACAATTAAACAGTGCTACACACCTATTACGATGGCTAAAATCCAAAACTAAAGGAAAGAAAAGACAAGACATTAACAAATGCTGGAAAGGATGCTGAGCAATGGAAACTGATTCATTGCTGATGGGAATGCAAAATGGTACAGCCACTTTGGAAACAGTTTGGCACATTCTTTTAAAGATGAATGTGGAGCCAGCAATCATACTGTAGGTGAAACACATGTTAGATAATTTGATAAAATCATAAAACCATGTCTGATGGAGGAAATAATTTCAATTCAAATCCAAACACTTAAGCTGTTTGTGAACTCACAGGGAAATAACTAATTTTCTCCCCACAATCCATTGTCCTGGGTCTTTTGGTTTTCAAAAGAATGAAAAGTTAGTACAATTTCAGGCAAATAAGAAAAATGTTTATTTTGTTGATTTTTTTTTTTCCTGCTGCAGTGTTTTGTTGTTGTTTTTTTTTTTTTTTTTTAACAAAAGTGCTTTGGACAGTTTCTAAACCTAAATCCAGCATTGAACTTTATCTTAGACTCCTAAATTAATGTAAATGTAATGACTTGCTTCTAATCCTTTAAACCAACCTGACACACCCATGCATCATGAATCCTTGAGCAACAAAGAGGAGACACAGATGTCATAGGGTTACCCAAAACAATGTCTTTGGACCCATATTGCCTGCTCAACACTAACTCTTGTTGCCACTATTCTGAACTCCAGTCCCACCTGAGGCCCTTCGCATTTGTTCTTCCTGACATTCAACTTTTCCAGCTGATGTTGGCTTGAATTCGTCTCTCCAGACTGCCTCTCAGCTAAATACCACACTGTCATTCACCAGGTTGGCCCCAGCTGGGCTAGCCCCAGCAACCCTAAATTGGGGCATTTAGTTTAAGCAATTAAAAGTATCATTCTGATCAATTAGAGAAGTTATCTGTTTGAAGATGTTTCTCAGAACTGTTTCCTGGCCAACTTTACCACTGTTGACCTCACAACACACCTGGTCCTTGTGAGCCCTAACTGAATAAACTTGTAGCTAGGCTTCCTGGAGAGATAGTACTCATGATAAGAAGGCGTCGTACCTAGACACTGAGCTCAGGTTATCATTTCATCATGTATTTGGTTTGGGGCATGTTGAAGTTGATGTGCCTTTGAGATATCTCTAAATAAAGCAATTGAGTGGGCAGCTGGGTCCATGGTCTGTGGCATAGTAAATAATCATAATTGAAGAAATGAGTGTGTATGAAACTGCCTAGGGAGAAGGCAGAGAATAAGATGAGGAGAGACCCCAAGCACTGAATCTTGAGAAATTGGTTTGAATAGCTTGGTAGAGGAGGAGAAACTAGAGGAAGGACAGAGAAGCGCCCGTTATAGAGTATTTTGCCCCAGAGGCAAGGAAGCGGGAGTGTTTTAAGTAGGAGGAAGTGGTTAGCAGTTATTATCAGTTAAGTTCACTACTAAAAATGTTCATTGGATTTCCTGACATGGAGATTATTGATAATCTCAGCTAGAGCAAGTTTTAGAAAGTTACAGGGGCAGAAATGAGGTAGCAGAAAGTTGAAGAAATAGCCCTGTCTTCTCGTGCAGGTGGCAAACTCTCCTTGTTAAATGTTAGCAACACTGCATTCAGCTTAGAGAGACTGGATGTGTCAGTCGCTATAGGTGATAGATTGTATTGTCTTCTGCCCCTGAACCCAAACCACAGCACTGGCAAATAACACAGAGAACCCAGATTTCTTATATTGTCTTCACTCATGTTCTCTGTTTGGCACTGGCTACCTGGAGAAGATTCAGATAACTGCCAAAGAAACTTTTAAAATGAGAAAGAAAATGCAAGCTATGCAAGCAGGAAATGCAACAACATTTGATAAAATAGCATCAGGACCTTCATCATTTCCCAGAGTCATTTGGCTCAGAATAGAAAGGAGGAAGCTATAGACCCTGCCTCAATAGTTTCCCTCAGAAGAAAATCTGGGTATAACACTCATTGTCTAAGTTACTCGTAACACTTATTCCCTACATTATTATAGATTGAAATCACTTAGGAAGTTCTAAAACGACTGTTCAGATTTAATTAGTATGGGGTATGGTCTGGATATCATGAGTTTTAAAATGCTTCCCTGGTGATTTTAATGTGTAACAAAGGTTAAAAGCCATTGGTATTAACAGCAAGTTAATTGATGTCATATTGATTGCCCTGAAACCAAAGAAAATAATAACATTTATTAAGTGTTTGTTTTACTCCAAGTCCTGGGTTGAGCACTTTACTTAAATTAGTGCGTTTAATCCTCACAACAACCTAATTTTCAGATGAGAAAAGTGAGGCATAGAGTTCTTAAGTAACTTGCCCAGATTCTGTAGTGCCATTAATGAGGCTGGGTTTTCAGCCCAGGATGCTACTATATAGATAATATCTGCACTTAGTCACCTGTATTCTATTTCAGAAGGCAAAAAGCATATAATAGCTTTTAAACAGCTCTATTGAGATATAATTCACATACCATATGGTTCACCCATTCAAAGTCTCCAGTTCAATTGTTTTTAATAAATTCCCAGAATTATGCAACCATCACCGCAATGTAATCTTAGGATGTTTTAGTCACCCCCAAAGAAATCATCTTCCCATTAGTGGTCACTCCTCATGTGTGCAGACATAGGCTTTTATTTCTTTTGGGTATATGAGTGGAATTGCTGGGTCATATGGTAACTCTGTAGTTAACATTTTTGAGGAACTGCCAGACTGTTTTCCAAAACAGCTGCACCATTTTACATTCCCAATAGAGCATATAATCCTTTTACCAAAGGATTTCCTTCTTGAATGATTAAAATGGAAAACCAACTTATACTGAAAACAATAAACTTTTACACTACCAGAAAAACTTGACTCCTAGATCAATAATTTTCTGACACTGTTCGGATAACTGAGATTTTATCGAACTACTAATAAAAGAGGAATAATAGTACTTACTTCATAGGGTTGTGATAATTAAATCAGTCAATACATGTAAAGTACTTACACTATTGCCTGGCACATACTTAGTAAGTACTCTATAAGGATTAGCTAGTAGTAGTAATAGTAGTAGCAGCAGTGGCAATAGTGCTAATGCCATGAACTGTTTACTGTTTATGCACAAACACCAACTATGACTTACCATTTAATATCACCATGATCACCTGCCCTTATACCTGCTCGGGTTCTCACAGCTTCAAAAATATGAGAGAAAGAAAAATGAGAGGAAACAGGGTATGTGTCCTTTAATTTTTATCTCCCCATTCCCCTGTTACTTATTCTCACCAGAGGAAAGGTTTCTTGATGCCCTTAGAAAGGGCTGTAAACACTAATGGTAAATGTACTGAGAAAGGAGAAATCTCTGGAAGCTGAGAACAAGCTTATAAAGTTTTTTAAAATATTTATCAAATTGGTAATTTCCTTAGAATGTAAAATTACTTGTAAGAGATTGGTTGTGTGTGTGTGTGTGTGTGTGTGTGTGTGTGTGTGTGTGTGTGTATGTATGTGTTTTGGCAACAACTGAAACAACTCTCAAATACCTCCATTATTTCTGCTTTCAATAATTCTGTTTATTATTAATTAGGATAAAAATGAATAAATGTGATGAACAAGAGCAAATCACAGAAATATCTGAAACTGAGAAGAAAAATGAAGGAAAAGAACTTACTGGGAAAAAACAGGAGGTATTTATATTGCAAAATAACATTAAACTCAACTAGTTGTAGTATTTTATTTTTTGATAGAATATGAAATCTTGGTATTTCTAACAGTTATCCAACAAAATGACAAATACATGAAATAAATGAATTTTAAGAATAAATGTCCTACACAACGGATATACATGATAAATTATATATTTATTTTTTTATTTCTAGAGCCTCTCATATCTAGCTTCAGATGAAACAGAAATTGAAAGAATAAAGCCAATTACCTTGAGGCCACAACTTTCTTTCACTGCAGAATTAACAAGCTTATCCAAGTGTTCATTGTAAGCATGTTTAAATTGTCTATTAATTGGATTGTTTTTAATAATAAAGTGGGATTTCTTGAGTGAGTGCCATATGCCAGGCACTCTAAGTTTTTAAAAACACATTTTCACATTTAATTGTCACCATAGCTCTATAGAGTTCCATATTATCCTTATCTTAAAGCAGGAATGTAGCTTATGGGAAGTTAAATTGCCCAGGTTCACACATCTAATACATGACTGAGGTGGGACTTAAACCAGTTTGGTGTTCTATAGAAACTGTGGTGTCTTCACTGCTAGGCTTCATATATTGATAATTTGTGGGGGCTTTTTGTTTTGTTTTGTTTTGGTTTTTGCTATGGTAATAATTTTTGTTCGGGTATAAAAAGATATAAAGCCACTGTAAAAAGTAATACACCATTGCCTTTGCTTGTTAAAGGAACTCTGGCTCTCATAAAAACTATTTCACATCAAGAGGGCCGGGCCCCCTAAACAATTTTCTTCTTTGACATTACAAACTTCTTTACTTCCCAGTTGTGATTTCTTCCTTGAGCTATAATGTTTTCTCTCTTTGCCTAGAACAGTATGCAAAAACGGACATCGTAGGTAATCCCATTTCTCCATCTACTAGGCCTATGGATCCCATCTCCCTTAAAGAGGATATGGCAACTTAGAGTACTAGGTCTAAGTTTTCAACATCTCTATCCCATGGCACACTTGGTACCAGTCCATCTTTGAGTATTGGGAATGTGCATCATTTAGCAGTGTTGGAACATACTGGGTACTTAATAAATGTTTATATTTATTAAATGAATGAATGGATGATTACATTAACAACCAAAAGAGCAGCAGACACAAAGTCACAATTATCACCACCCACTTTCTGACCAGAGAAGTGCAGCAGTGAAGAAATCCTTTATTTGTTCTGCACCTCCTTCCAAAAAGGGCCTGAGATATTTTGTTATGTAGGACACTCATATAAAAGGACTAGCTAAATAAGGGTAAGAATACAGGAGCCATAAAATGAAAGTTGGAGTGAGAGAGAAGAAAGAAGAGGAATAAGATATTTGTGCTGGAAAACCTAGACTAAAACTTAGTGGAAGTCAAGGCAAAAGGATGTATGGTGTTTTATATCTTTGCAAAGCCATTGCCATCTGAAGATAGCATTGCCGTCATCTATTTAAAATATCCAATTGAATAAAAACTCATTCTCCAGAGAAGAATAATATGTCGATATAGAGGATAGAAGTGAAAAGAATAGAGAAATTAGAGAGGAATTAAAAAGAGTTTACAGGTGAAGAGAAAGGCAAGATTTCCTGAAGATAATTATAACCCTGAATCAACAAATTTTTATAATTAATTCATGAACTCATTGTTAAAACTACTTTTAGAGGGCAACAGAAAGGGTAGCTTTTACTTAGATATTTCTTGAAAGGTAATTGGGAATATGGTCAAAAGAGGCCAACAGGGAGATAAGAATAAGTAATCTTTTGTCCTCTAACTCTTTGAGAAGGTTACAGAGATGGACAGGTAATAGGGTAGAGACATACTGGGCCCATAGGGTGATTAGACCGGGGAGCAGAAGGGGATTTTATGTTTCAGCTTAGGGTTTATCTTCCACCCAGCCTTCTCCCTTCTGAAAAAGAGGATCAAGTCTTAAACATCATTAGGTGAGTTCTCTTGCAGCTAGGAAGATATTCAATAAATGTTGGTTGACTGAATTAAAGAATGAATGAAAGACTCTAGGAGTTTTATATCAGTCAAGGGATCAACTTATGCCTCAACAAGTGTTTTCCCCAGGGAAATAACCTGGCTTGCTCCTTTGATCTTTGGGTTCAGAGATAGCGTGGCTTCCCCACTGTCCTGGAGAAAAGGGGTACACAGTCTAAGGTGATTTACAGAGACCTTTAAGAGAACACAGCAAGCCTGTTGCCGTAGAGCCACATCTTTGAAGTTATTGACAACATGGTGTGTGGAGGGTTGTGTGTTTGTGTATGTAGTCTATGTGTGTGTCTTTTTAAAGTTAGAAAATATTTTTAAATTCTTGATTCAACCTCCCCTCGCCATTCCCAAGCCCCTCAGTTTTTTCCTCTCGTAAGACATGTGGTAGATACGTGGTTTAGTCTCTTTAAACTGTAATTTAGTGAAATAATAGCTGAATGATTTATAGCACCTTGATTTTAGTTCTTCTAGTTTTGAATGCATATTTTGGGTACATCTCTTTCGTTAAAAACATTTGACTGGGAAGAAGAAATTTTTATTCACATGTAGACAAGTGTTATTTGATGTAAAGATAACATTTGTCCTCTGAAATTATCTTCTGTTTAACATGCTAATATATATTTTAAAAGAACAATATGTTATGTTTATTGTACTTTCGAAGGGTGATTTAAAGGTTTATTTAATTTTTAGGGATGAACAAAAAAGAAGAGCCAGAATTCAGAAGCTCAAATACTTTATTAAAATATTTTACAACAATAAACAGGTTTCTTGTACTTCAGTATCTCCCCTACAGTTTGATTTTAAAGTCATGTTTCAGCAAATTTTCAATATTCAGTTAATATATTGGCCTGAAGTGATTTGCTTGGAGGTATGCCATTGTCATTTACTTTCGTATCTTATTTTATGCCATACATAATTTAAAATTTTTTGTCAGCTACAGTTATATGTGATCAGTAATTTCTTTGATGTTAAGAGATGGACTGATCTTTATGTGTAGATGATATTTATAAATGTATAATTCACCACCAGTCTCTTATACTGTAAGTACAAAGTTATTTGATTTGTAGTGTTCCAAATACTCCTCTCCTGCTAAAATTTCTGCACCCCTGGATGTGTAGCACTACTATTCATTTGCAATGAGGTGGAAAAGTGCTGTTTAAAGTATTATGAGTATCATAGCTACTTTAAGTGTTGAATGATTTCTATAATATGAACTTCCACATCCCTGACTTGGTGGCTTCAATCTCTTGCTGTATTTGTTCTTCCTCTTTTTTTTGATTTTTAGGTCCCTCTAAGAATCAGATGAAAGAATATACATACAAAAGATCCCCAGTCTCTGTGCAAAGTTCCCACTGTAAGAACCCCCACACTAATGGAAGAAGAAAATAGGATGATGGAGAAAAATGAGAGACAGTAAAGGAGTCTAGACAAGAAGTCCTGGTGGCAATAATGGGGTTAAACTTGAAGCTAGACTAGAAAAAAAAGTTAGGAGGGAATAAAGATTTGTGTGTAGGAAGGGAGGCGCTTGAGGAGTAGGGAGATAATTGTAGTCACAAATATAAATCAAAATTATTTTTATAATGCCGAGAATAATTTTGCTCTCTCCCTGATAGATGTTCTATTCATTATTCATGTATTCAGGTTTCCATCATCTTACAATGTCCCTCTGTTGAAATTCCTACATTAAAAATATGCCGACTTTCCACACTGCATTCCTAATACAAAAAAAAAAAAACAAAACAAAAACAAGCAAGAACTATACTTTCCTACTGTTGTCCCAAAGTAAATTGTGATATAATAATCCAATCACTTGAAGTTTAAAATCTGCCTCCTCAAATAGGTAAATGTGTATTTTGAGTCCTTTATCATCCTATCACTTAGCATGTGAGCCTAACAAACTAAGAAGCAGGGAGGGAGAGGAATCTAGTTAGAGATAAATTCACCATTAGCAAATGCAAAAATTCCAAAATAAATCGATATGACCTAGCCTAACAGACTTTAACCTACTTTTTAAATTCTTTTTGTTTTTTTTTTTTTTCTCAGATGAAGTCTCACCCTATTGCCCAGGCTGGAGTACAGTGGCGTGATCCCAGCCACCACAACCTCCACCTCCTGGGTTCAAGCAATTCTCCTTCCTCAGCCTCCCAAGTAGCTGGGATACAAATGCCCGCTACCACGCCCAGCTAATTTTTGTATTTTTAGTACAAAAATACTAAACGGGGTTTCACCATGTTGGCCAGGCTAGTCTTGAACTCCTGACCTCAAGTGATCTGTCTGCCTCAGCCTCCCAAAGTGCTGGAATTGCAGGCATGAACCAACACGCCTGCCTTTAATTCATTTCTTACTACTACTCTTTATTCATTCATCACTTCAGCCAAACTGAGCTGCTTGTCTTTTCCCACACGTGCTTGTAATTTCCTGCCTCTTAGCTTTTGTACATGTTAGCTGCACCATTTAAAAATGCCCATTTTTTCATTCTTACCACTTTTAAGATGCTCAATCTCATCTGCATCATGGTGTTGACAGTTGTCATCAGGGGACAAGACTGGCTCCTGGGAACCCTCAACTGATAAAATTCTCTATCTCAGTACACTTACCTTGCTGTGCAGGGGTTGGCCTCCAGCCTTGTAGTCCAAGAACCTGGGTTTGACAGTCCACTGAGAATGCATCCTACATACCCTAAGCAAATTCACAAGGCTGAAGTGTAAATGCCAACTCAACAATTGAATATATCAGTTCATGTTCTCTGAAAGTTAGCCAATTTACTAATTTATAATTAAACTTATTTCACAGAGCTACAACTCCTACAAACCTTTCTGCAGTAGGGATGCCTTTGTCAAAGGGACCAGTGTGTTGTCTTAAATTCTCTCTTACAAGGAAGTAAAACCAGATAACCAGAAAAAATATGTGCCTCTTTGACTTTCCTTTTTCTTTGCTGTATTGGCTAATAAGTCATCACGTTGATTGGCACATTCTTTCTTATCTTTCAAGGAGCAATTTTCCCCTCTGATTTCCTTCTTAGAGCACATATCACTGTTTTCCCAAGCACTGACAACACAGTATAGGTCAAAATACGATTTTTTTATTGAAAAAAGTTTGCTTAGGCTGGGCGCGGTGGCTCCCGCCTGTAGTCCTAGCATTTTGGGAGGCCAAGGCAGGCGGATCACCTGAGGTCAGGAGTTCGAGTTCAGCCTGGCCAAAATGATGAAACCCCGTCTCTACTAAAAATACAAAAATTTGCCAGTCGTGGTGGTGGGCACCCGTAATCCCAGCTACTCAGGAGGCTGAGGCAGGAGAATCGCTTGAACCTGGGAGGCAGGTGTTGCAGTGAGCCAACATTGTGCCACTACACTCCAGCCTGGGAAACAGAGCAAGACTCCATCTCAAAAAGAAAAAAAAAAAAAAGAAAAAGAAAAGAAAAAAGTTTACCTTATAGTTATGGCAGTGAAGTTACATGGAATTGTAGTAAAAAAGACACCATATAGAATTAGAAAACCTGGGTTTCATGCTCAGTGAACCTCTATGGGACTGTCTACTCAGCACCCCCTTTTCCTTTCTTCTGGAGCTTTTCCTGCCTGCCCGCTCCCATAGCTTGTTTAACTCATCCTTGAATTTCATGACCAATGACTACCTTTTTCCTAAGCAATTCAACCTGAGTCTCAGCCACTTATAATAAAAACAAACATATTTTCATATAGAGCTTCCATTTCCTCACTTACAAAATGAGAATATTTATTTCTATAATTTTTATCAGATTTACATGAAATCAAAAATTTTAAAGTGCTACACAAAATTAAGTTACTATGATATTATGTTATATGTACCTCATATATGTGTTCTCAGAACTGTATTCATAATCCATTATATTCAATTCATTTTCTATGAAGTCAGTAAAAGGGATTACACTTTCAAGGACATGACTGGCCACTTTTCTCATAATCATGTGGATGAAATGCTATAGAGCAATACTTATTTTATATTCTGGTATTTTAAAAAAATAAATATAAATATGTTGTTAAGGGTGCTTATTTTTTCCTTTTTCTATGTTGTATTTTTAGTGAGCTATCAGCCATTTCTTTTATATTTAGGTTTATGAAAAAAGTAGAAGAACAAGCTTACTGGCAAAACTATATTTACCTTTACCTAACTACACAGAGCTGAAAGGCAAAACCGTTTTGCAATATGTAGAGTTTAGCTCTGATAAGCTGGTCATGCCTGCCGATGGAGAAGTAGGAAGCAGTGAGTTTATTAAAAATACTACATTCCCCCTATTTTCTTCCTGAGTACCATATTCCTAAATGACTCTGGCTCACTCACATAAGTACAAAATCCTGTATTTACAATATTCTTTTTTTTTTTTTTTTTTGAGACAGTCTCACCCAGGATGGAGTGCAGTGGCTCGATCTCAGTTCACTGCAACCTCCACCTCCCAGGTTCAAGCAATTCTCGTGCCTCCAGTAGCTGGGATTACAAATGCCCGCCACCACGCCCATCTAATTTTTGTATTTTTAGTAGAGACAGGGTTTCATCATTTTAACCAGGCTGGTCTCAAACTCCTGATTTCAGGTGATCCAACCCCTCAGCCTCCCAAAGTGCTGGGATTACAGGCGTGAGCCACTGCGCCTGGCCCTGTGTTTACAGTATTCTGTTAAAAATGAATTAAATTATTCATTCAGATGTTAAACTATATTGTTTAAAGCTTTGTCTTGGGTCAGATTTTTGGGAAATTTCAAATGAGCAGTTAGCACCCATGCTTTCTGTAGGCCATCCAAGACAAGGACAGAATGCTGTCTGGAAAGCGAGCTCTGCTTTTGAGTGGGCTGGCTGCTCTCCCTCTACCTCTCCTTTAGTGAACCTATAGGTGCTCGCTGACATATGGATTTGTCTTTGAACTGTATAGGGAAGGGAAGAAGAAAATGAGGGAGGGAAGAAAAGAGGGAGGGACAGAGAAAAGGAGAGAGGAAAGAAGGGATGTTTCTGTTATTTGTTTTTCAATTGCTTTTACTCCTCTTATACGGTTAAATGTAAGTTAGTGCGTCTCTGAGAGCACTGTCATTCCTCTCCTTCTCCCCATTATTCCTTTCTTTCACCTTCCTAGGGGTTTTGAAACTACTTAGGCCTATTTGGTGAAAAGTAAGGAAGTATGAATGAGTGAGCGAGGAGGAGAGGGGAAAAAAAGGGCAAAGAATGAGGGAAGAATGGAGTTTGCTTCAAGTCCAGATGAAGCAGAAAAGTAAGCTTATGGGAGAAAAGACTCAGGACTCAAAAAATTTAGGGAACACTGGGCACTCAGCAAAAGTTTTAAGAAGTATTGTTAAACTCTGGAGATTAGATGCAGAAGATTTGGGAATGTAGGGAAAGAGGAGAAAGAACTGCTTGCTGGCCTCTTTTTCTGCTGCCAATAGTCCTTTCTTGCTGGAAGCTACTCCCACAGAGAATGGTTAAGAAGCCTCCAGGCATAAAAGGAATACAATCGTGATATTCATCTCTACATATCATCTCAATCTTTACCTTATCTTTTGTAGTCCTTGAAGGATTTTAAAGAGGAGATGAGGGAGAGCACTAAGATAAGAGTGGGGTTAGGGCCAGGCCCGGTGGCTCATGCCTATAATCCTAGCCCTTTGGGAGGCCAAGGCAGGTGGATCACCTGAGGTCAGGAGTTCAAGACCAGCCTGGCCAACATGGTAAAATCCCATCTCTACTAAAAATACAAAAAATTAGCCAGGCGTGGTGGTTGACACCTGTAATCCCAGCTACTCGGGAGCCTGAGGCAGGATAATCACTTGAACCCAGGAGGTGGAGGTTGCAGGGAGCCAAGATCGCCCCACTGTACTCCAGCCTGGGCAACAAGAGTGAAACTCTGTCTCAAAAAACAAAAGAGTAGAGTTAGCACAGATCTTCCTTTGTGTTCCTAGAATTCCACAAGTAAAACTCAGGAAAAAACCCACAATATGCTTCAACTGCACTTAAATCAATTCATATGTTTTTAATGCCCTTTATATACAGATGTGCCTTTTCTTCTTGAGGGAAATGAAACTGAAGAACTCTGTCTTTTGACATCAGGAAAACTTAGCTATTCTCTATCATGGAGCTTAGATGAAAATGGTCTTCCTCTGATACCTATGTCACAGTCATTGAGATCTTCTTACTGCAGGTAATAAACTTTTATCTTTGAAAAATAATGCCAGGTCTCAGCAAAGCATCACACAAAACATATTATGTGTAAAAGAGAAAACTTGAGCAGGAATAGGAAGAGTTTAGTTTATTTGAATGTTGATTTATCTTTTATTTAAATCATTCTACTAAGGTAGTATGTGTATTTATATGTAAGAGAATGTGTCCCTTCAGTGCTTGGAATTGTAGCCACACAGATGATGAGAGAGTCATTCCCAGAGTCCTTCACTTGTAGGCAAAGGTCAAGACTCCCAGGAACTTTATTTCTAGGGCCTGTATATCTCCCAGTCATTCTGGATTAGCAAAGAACCATTTATGCATTATCATGATTCTGGGAGTTCCCAGAAGAATTGGGGTTAATTTTCAGATTAATTATTTGTGGGATTACTAGAAATAAGTACAGTAAATTCTATGAAAATGATGATAATGCTGGCTTCCATAATGTGCTATGTTTGAGGGAAATGGTAAATATAAAGGAAAAAGTTTAGTTCATCATTTAAAATAATGAACAATGATAACAAAAAGATATCCTCTCCCCTCCCCATCTTAACACATATTTTTAAAAATAAATGGAAATGAAAAGCATCATACAACTATATGGCATTCTAGAAAGGGCAAAACTATGGAGACAGTAGAAATATCAGTGGTGCCAGAGGTTCCGGGGGAAGGGAAGAATGAATAGATGGAGCACACAGGATTTTTAGAGTAGTGAAACTATTTTGCATAACATTATAATGGTGGATACATGTCATTACACAGTTGTCAAAACCCACAGAATGTACAACACCAAGGGTGAACCCTAATGTAAACTATGGACTTTGAGTGACAATGATTTGTCAATGTGGGTTCATGGACTGTGAAAAAAAGGTACCACCCCAGCAAGGCATGTTGACAGCTGGGGAGGCTGTGCGTGTTTATGGGGATGGGGTGCATGGCAACTCTCTGTGCCTTTTGTTCAATTTTGCTGCAAATGTAAAACTCCTCTAAAAAATTTTATTTAAAAATATTATAGTTTTGAAAATTGTTACCCATAACTAGATTAAATGGAAAATCAAAACTGAAATTAGAGACTGTTTAAAAAATAACAAGGAGAACATTATATATAAAAACTAGTAGCATATGGCCAGAGTCATAGTAAGAGTTCATAAAGGCTTTTCTTCGGTATGTAAGAAATTGAAAGAGAAAAAAACTAAATGGCAGTAGCACAAGGAGATCATTGGTGTGAAAGAAACTGAGGTCGTAGGGATAGTTTACTTACCACGGAGTTTGACAGTAAAAAATATGCTAAAAAAAAACAGAAGGCCAAAAAATCAAGGTACAGATTTCTTAAAAATTGGGGCCATATTTATGTTCTTAAAAGAAGTGATTAAAAGTGATGAGCTTATAAAAGATTGAAATCAGTGGGGCAAAAAGACCTAATATATTGGAAAGAGTATGAAGTCCTTCAGAGTCCGGAAGGTATCAAACCAGAACCCAAGTGAATACCTGTGGTTCTGGAGAAGAGAAACTCTCTCTTCCTCAACTCAGGGAATGAGACAGTCACCACTATGAAGACAGAAATGGAACTTTGATGAATGTCCTTGTTTTGCTAAGTAAATGAGGTCATCTTCTTAGAGACCTGGAGAGAAGGGCATTTTAAGAGCAAATCTTACAGTTATTAAAGGTCATTCATTTTGGAGCCAGTGGAAAAGTTTTTAATACCCAGAACTATTATTTTATTATATTTCTTAATATTTCTCTAGCATAGTCTCCACAGCAGCTATTCCTAATCTTTGCCTCATCATAATATTCTTTGCATTTTTCTTGGAATGAGATGTTTGTCCTTCTCACTCTGAGGCTAACTTTTATGCAGGTAATTTGGAACTCTCTGTATTTTACAATTCTACTGATGCATTTATATCCTTTTCTTCCATTATCTTCAACTTGTCCATCTCCCTAGGCTGTTGGTCTTTTGTACCCAAAAGCCTTCTTTGTTTTAAAACGAACAAGCACAAACTCAAGCACCTGATTAAATCCTGAAGCCCATTTTGGCTAGTTTTTCCTGCCAGAGTTCTCCTGTGTGTGGCCTACTGGTCTGCATACATTCCCTCCACTTTCTGTTCACACATTCCCTTCCTAACCCTACCCACTTGTCACTGAAGGTTACCAGCAAGTGACCTTCAAGCCATATTCATTGGCTTGTCTCCATTGTCTTACAATTCCTATTACTTGGAAACTCAAGCTTACAAAAGATTGAAAACAGTTATATGCAAGGGTGGGACAGATGACAGATTTCAGCAGGAAGTATATTGCAAGAGAGGTTTTCAAAGTCCAGGGCCCTCTCTAAGTCAAGCTTTAATACCACATTAAACACAACTCTCTGGCTGGGCACGGTGACTCACTCCTGTAATCCCAGCATTTTGGGAGGCCGAGGTGGGAGGATCACCTGAAGTCAGGAGTTTGAGACCAGCCTGGCCAACATGGTGAAACCCCATCTCTACTAAAAATACAAAAATTAGCTGGGCATGGTGGCACGCGCCTGTAGCCCCAGCTACCTGGGAGGCTGAGGCAGGAGAATCGCTTGAACCTGGGAAGCAGTGGTTGCGGTGAGCCAAGATCATGCCATTGCACTCCAGCCTGGCAACAGAGTGAGATTCTGTCTCAATAAACAAACAAATCAAAAAACAAAAAAACAAACAAACAAAAACCACACCTCTCTTATCTAAATGATCATTGTCTAGAGTTTTCATTTTTAAACATGAAACAGTTTTTCTTACACTCGCTAGTTAATAACATTTTTCACATTTAATAACATTGACTTTTATGTTTACCTTATTTCTTATTTCCCATCCTTCATTCTCGATTTACTTTTCATGCTGAAAGCATGCTCCTTTAATGATTCTTTCAGTTAGTTTCTATGGATAGCAAAATTCTTTAGCCTTTCTAGATCTAAAAGTGTCTTTATTTTGTCCTCATTCTTAATAGTTTAGGTGAGTAGAAAATTTGAGGATGTTCTTTATTTCCCTTTAGCACTTTGAAGCTGTTACAGTACTGCATTATCTATTGGGATTTATCATTGCTATTTATAAGTCTGCTATTGGTCTAAATGTTGGACTTTTATAGGCTATATTTTCTCTCTGATAATGTTGAAATATTTCACTTTAATTCAGAGACAGAAAGTGGAATAAAGGTTACCAGGGATGGGGAAGGGAGAAATGGGGTTATTGTTTAATGTGTACAGAGTTTCAGTTTGGGATGAAGAAAAAATTCTGGAAATAAGTAATGATGATGGTTATACAATGCTGTGAGTATACTTAATACTACTGAATCGTACACTTTAAAATGGTGGTAAATTTTATATTATGTATCTTTTACCTTAATAAAAAAGGAAGAATTTGCCATGAAAAAAGTTTTGCTTTATCCTTAAAGTACTGAAATTTTACTATACCATGTATGTGTGGATTTATCATTATTCCTTTTCCTGCTTAGCAGAATAAATTTTATGTTTAAAGACTCACATCTTTCATCAATTACAGAAACGTCTCAACCGCTATTTCTTCAAATATTACTTCTTCACTATTTCCACTCTTCTCTCCTTCAGGATTTCTTACTGAATTTGTATTGGAGCCTCTCAGTCTATTATTCATTTATTTATTTTTGAGACAGGGTCTCACTCTGTCACTCAGGCTGGAATGTAGTGGTATAATCATAGCAGCCTCAAGCTCCTGGACCCAACAATCCTCCTGCCTCAGCCTCCCTAGTAGCTGAGACAGTAGGCAGGTGCTACCACGTCCAGCTAAATTTTTTCTTGCCTTCTGTGTTTTCTTTTTAAGAGACAAGGAGGTCTTGCTTTGTTGCCCAGGCTGATAAACTCCTAGGCTCAAGCGATCCTCTCACCTTGGCCTCACAAAGTGCTAGGATTACAGGCCTAAGCCACTGAGCCCAGCCAAGCCTCAGCCTAACTATTATTTCATATTTTTATGTTTTTATTTAATCTGCATCCTGGATGAATTTCTGGGTACTATTTTTTAGTTCCTTCATTCGTTATTCAACTTTGTCCAATATAAGTTTTATTTGACTTTTATGTTATAATTTTTACTTTTATTTTCTGCTGCCAAGTTTTCTGTTTGATTCTCTTTCATATCTACATTTTCTTATTTCATTTTGGCATTTTGTTCCATTACTTCTTGCATTTAAAAGTGAATTATTAATTTTCATTTGTTTTTACATCTTAAGCATACTTCATGAAAATGTGTTTGGCAGACTTCCATAAAATGAATTTCAGCTAGAATTAATTTAATGTTCTGATAGTTGATACTGTTGATTATTTTTCTGAGCATGGCTTCATTGCTCAGAAGTTTTGGTTAGCAGGGTCATTTTGAGTTGGAGAACTTTTGGGTGATTTTGATTTATAGGTTTCTGGGTTTTTGGTGGGTTTTTTTTGTTGTTTATTTTGTTTTGTTTTGTTTTGTTTTGATTTTGTTTTTTCTCTCTCTCCTTCTGTATCTACCCCTCCTTACCTGATGGTTCTGAATTTGACTTCATCTGTCCTCCTAAATCCAGAAGTGGGCCGTAAGCCTACTTACTGGGTAGGTTGGGAGGTTGGGTTGTTACACTGGGTTGCTATTGGAGTCATCACAGATCTAGGCAGCTGGTGAGCTGTGAGCCTGGTTCAGTTCCTCATTATGAGGCAGTGTCTGTGTCCCTTTGCCTCTCTGGACTCATAGCTTTCTAAAAGCCACAGCCCCATGCAGTGGTCAGTATTTTTTTAAAGGTCCCTTTATTTAAGCCCCGCCCGCGCCCTCAAATCTTTGGCTTAAAATGATAAACCTGGTGCTAGTTCCCTGTCTCAGGAACTGAGCCCACAACCACCATGGACTGCTCATCAGCCTGAAGCCCAGCAAGCCCACAGTGCTATCCCCACTCGCCACTCTGCCTTTCTTTTCCATTTCTGGTTCACAGGAATGTTTATCTTAGCTCTCAGCACGGTTATATTTTTAACTGTTTTTTAACATCTTTATTGAGATACAATTCACAAACCATAAAATTCAGCCAATGAAAATATGCAATGCAATGGTTTTAATGTATTCACAGAGTTGTACAACCATCATTACAATCTGGAAATGGATGGTGGTCATGGTTGCACCACATTGTGAGTGTACTTAATGCCACCGAATTGTGTATTTTAAAATAAAGTGATAAATGTTACGTATATTTTACCTCAATTTAAAAACATGGTGGCTGTGGCCTTGCATTTGGGTGTATAAGCCGAGGTCTTGGGGCCTGCTAGAATTAAAGCTCGCCTCTTTCTTGGGGCCATGCTATACTTTGATTCTTTTGTCGGAAATAAGATGTAAATATCAGGGCTGCATTAGATAAACAACAATCAAAGAGTTTTCCATGCCTTTTATAAAGTACTGCTTCCAGCTCTCCATCATCAAAGTAGAAATCTTCAATTGAAGAGAGGGGGAGGGGAAAGGAAGAGAGAAAGGGAGGGAGGGAGGGAGGGAGAAATCTTCAATCATTTGACTGGTTTTGACCCAAGGAACAGCACTGCTGTGAACCATAGCCCACAGCTATAGGAGCAGCTGGGGGAATCATTGTAGCAAGGCTGTGAGATTTTTATTACTTTCTCTGAGGCAGAAACCATGGGACTATGTTGAAATTCAATTACAACTTTCTTTGTTGTTTGTTGTTTTTGTTGTTGTTGTTAAAGGATATAATGGGAAAAGTTTCTCTCTAATCTATTCGTTAAGATTTAAGCTTTACCTGAGGCTATCTTCTAGGGGATCTGGGCTAAGATTGTTTCTAGAAGGAAAATTTATTACATGATGGTGTCAAGGGTGTCAGGTCCTAGCACTCTTGTGACATAGATATCAAAACAGTTCAAAATGAGGGCAGACATGGGAAGCAAAAGAAAAGAAGAATATGCAAACTTCACCTATTAGTAATTTTCCTTACATCTTACCATACCACACATTGGCTTTTGCAGCAATAGCCTCAGAAGATTCATCAAAGAAGTATGAACGAATGGGAAGGAGACAGTGTAAAATGTGTGCCCATGTTTGGGCTAAGACATTGTTGAATCCGTGTCAGAACTGTATTTCTGGAATCCCAATTTATAGACAGGAACCTTTCTGGACTACTTTATAGAAAGGATTGTAGAAATTTGGATCATAGTCCAAATTCCTCTAGTTACACATGATAAGACAAATTCTCTATGAAGAGACAGATTAAATCGCTGGGATAATTGATGACTCTAAAGAAATCCTTACTCATTAGAGTTGAATTCCTTTTGCACTTAGTCGCTAAGAATATTTTATGAGTCTAGCCTATCTTTTACAGCTTTCCAGCTTTTAAGATTATCTCATGGCTGGGCACAGTGGCTCACGCCTGTAATCCCAGCACTTTGGGAGGCCAAGGCAGGCAGATCACGAGGTCAGGAGATTGAGACCATCCTGGTCAACATGGTGAAACCCCCTCTCTACTAAAAATACACAAATTAGCCAGGTGTGGTAGCACTTGCCTATAGTCCCAGCTACTTGGGAGGCTGAGGCAGGAGAATTGCTTTGAACCTGGGAGGCAGAGGCTGCAGTGAGCCGGGATCGCGCCACTGCACTCCAGCCTGGCGACAGAGTGAGACTCTGTTTCCAAAAAAAAAAAAAAAAAAAGATTATCTCATATGATCAAGGATGGTCCTCTGGCACATACTTACCCAGTTACTTGCATTACTTTCTGTTATGTTTCCACTGTAAAGATGTAGCCTAAAAGTGGTTTTTATTTTGTGTGCTTTCTTAATTTTGCTTAAGTGAATATTTTGATTAAATTTCAATATTGTACACCCTGTGAAAATATTTTAATAAGTTACTATGCTTAGGGTTTACATAATACATCCAATAAGCACCATTCATTTAAGCATCTACAATATTTTAGCTGTTACATACAATATAGATGGCAAGGATCAATATTTACGGACTATTCTTAATAAGGTTACTGTCTCTTACAAACATTTATCAAAAAGCTATGATACAAGTTAGAGTGAGAACTAGGAGAGATATCACATCTCAACTTTCTATTTTATCCATAAATACAGAGGATGGATAAATTTTATCTTCAAATACCCAGAATGGGTACGTTTTTACCCTATATAACAGTGTATTGTATGTAATACATATATTGTTTATTGTATGCGAGTTCACAAAATATTTTCTCTATGTTAGTATGTTAAGGAATGTAGATGCGAGAAGTGTTCCTGGAATTCCATGGCTCATTAATGAACAGAAGCTTTTTGAATGGGCAAATGAAGTCAGAATTGATCCAAATAATCCAGAATATTCTGATTTAATGGAATTTGTTATGGTAAGTTAAAGCAAGTATCAATACTGTAAACATATTCTGTTTCCTAAGCTCTACCCCCCTCTCTCCCCCATAGTTTGCTATATATTTTTCTAGGCTCTAGGGTTTATGTAAAAGTAAATCTGAGGACAGAAATCATTTTCAACCAGTGTACAATACTGTAAAGGCAATTAGAAACTCAGCAACTGAAATAATTCCTCCTTTAGGCCTGATGGATGGTCCTCTGCCACTACTTAGCAGCCACAGCACATCCGACAGTCTTTTATGCTAACATCTATTGTGCAGTTACCATGTGCCAGCCATAGTATTAGATACTGAAGATATTGAGATGATTTATAAACACACTCCTTCTCTCAGACTCTATTATGTAGTCACTTCTACTCTTCTTTATTGCCAGCTGAACTGCTGTATATACCTCACACATGCTTTCTTCATACCTTTATTCATGCCACTGCTCTGCCTAGAAGGGCATCCATAACAGTTACCTTATTCACCCTGTAAGTCTAATAAATGCTTCCCTGGTAACCTCAGTTAGGCACTGCATCTTCTTTCCTTGCTTTCCTGTTAACCTTTCTTCTTTTTTTAAAAAAAATCAACTCTTATGACTCTAATTTCATTCTGCCTTTTACTGTAGGTTTTTTTTTTTTTTTAGACAGAGTCTCATTCTGTTGCCAGACTGGAGTGCAGTGGCGTGATCTTGGCTCACCACAACCTCCGCCTCCCAGGTTCAAGCGATTCTCTTTCCTCAGCCTCCTGTGTAGCTGGGATTACAGGCACGTGCCACTGTGCCCAGCTAATTTTTGTATTTTTGATAAACGGGGTTTTACCATGTTGGCCAAGCTGATCTTGAACTCCTGACCTCATGTGATCCACCCGCCATGGCCTCCCAAAGTGCTGGGATTACAGGTGTGAGCCACTGCACCTGGCCTACAGTAGTTATTCATTCATATATTTTATTTTTCCTTGTGGAACTACAGCTAATAAATCTGTGTCTCTCTGATGGCAGCTAGCATTATTCCTTGCATGTACTATGCACTCACATTTGCATTTGTTGAATAAAACAATCCATAAATTAGATTGCTGCAAGTAAGCTGCCTAGATTAGAGCTTCTCACCTGAGGTGCAGAATTGGTTATAGGTATACGGAAGTATTGATCCTCTCTCAACTCAGGACAACCAGATAGGAACACTCTCATCTGTCCTATCAGTGTACAATACAAAATTCAGTGTACAGTACAAATATTTTCGTTTTCTTTGTAACTCATGACTGGGAAAAGGTTGGAAAGCCACAAAGGCTGGATTCTATTTTGTTTTGTTTTATTTTGTTTTTTTTTTTTATGTTCTAGACTACAAATTCAGTTGCTCCATTCCTACTTATATTGCCATTCAGATCTCACAGTTGAGGGGGAAAAAGTCTTTTGAAGTAATTCCTGAATTTTAAAAAATTAATATTTTAAGTAAAGGCTTTGCGTTTTTATGTTTTACAGTACATGAGACTTAAGGGGCAAGATATTCTGAAGTATTTTCGTCTTGAACAGTTGCAAGATGAATTTAACTTTGTTTCTGAAGAGGAAATGGCAAAGAGTAAACGTTTCCAGCTATTGCAACTTAGAAATGCAGGTCAATTAGATAATTTCCTTCTACAGCAAATGCCCCTCCATGACACAGAGATTCCAGATTTACTCTTCCAGGTATTTGGTTTCTATTTGAATATGGCTTATTGTATGATAAAGTTAACAGTTTGCTGCTTTAACCCTATCTTAATTTATTTCTGTTTTTTTAAGCTAATAATCTGTAGACAGATTTCCTCCCTTCTCTATAGACATTAAAAATGTACGTATCTCCCAAATTCCAGAAATTCTTCAGCTTGACTTTACAATTTAGTGTTGTCTAGTCTATTCAGTATTCAGCAGCCAAAATCCTTTAGGCATATTCTAAATTTATGTAACTATTGTATTTTTGTTATCATAAAATGTATCACCGATTTAAAAGCGGCTTTGGGAGTAAGGGGGAGAGACACTACCGCAATAAATTTAAACATTACTTATAAAGCCCATCTCAATGTTAGAATCTTTAAAATATTTCTAAAAGAAAACAAAAGCTGGAATGCATAATAGGTTCTCAGCAGCTGGTGCCAGCTAGCTCTAGCACACTATCAAATAAAGCTAGCTTTTCATATTAGTTGCTTTAAGTTTGCTACTTGGTGAAATTTGGATATGGATCAAATATTAGATAATACTGGAGAATTGCTGGTGGTGCTTATGGCATTGTGGTTATATAGAAGCACGTCCTTAGTCTTTGGAGATTCATACTGAAGTATTTATCTAGAGATGCTTAAAGTGTCATGATGGCTATAATTTACTTGAGAATATGTTAGCCGAAAATAAAATAAATAAAAACAGGTAAAACAAATATGATAAAATGTTAATTATTTAATCAATGGGGTAGGGATATGAATTTTAATATTTCTTTTTTTCAGTCAGGTGCAGTGACTCATGCCTGTAATCTCGGCACTCTGGGAAGCCGAGGCAGAAGGATAGTTTGAGTCTAGCAGTTTGAGACCAACCCGGGCAAAATAATGAGATCTCATCTCTACAAAAACATAAACAAAATTAGCTGGGCATGGTGGAGCACACCTGTAGTGCCAGCTACTTGGAGGCTGAGGTGGGAGGATCACTTGAGGTCAAGGCTACAGTAAGCTGAGCTCCTGCCACTGCACTGCAGCCTGGGTGACAGGGTGAGACCCTGTCTTAAAAAAAAAAATTATACACACACCCACATACACATGTGTGTGTATATATATTTTTACTTTTCTATATGTTTGAAAATATGAAAAAAATTAAACAAAAATAAATAGCATCTAATATACCAGTAAAACCCCACTAAAAATGTAATTTAATAAATATATAGGCCGGGTGCGGTGGCTCAAGCCTGTAATCCCAGCACTTTGGGAGGCCGAGACGGGTGGATCACGAGGTCAGGAGATCGAGACCATCCTGGCTAACACAGTGAAACCCCGTCTCTACTAAAAAAAATACAAAAACTAGCTGGGCGAGGTGGCGGGCGCCTGTAGTCCCAGCTACACGGGAGGCTGAGGCAGGAGAATGGTGTAAACCCACGAGGCGGAGCTTGCAGTGAGCTGAGATCCGGCCACTGCACTCCAGCCCGGGCGACAGAGCAAGACTCCGTCTCAAAAAAAAAAAAAACAAAAACAAACAAACAAAAAAACCACAAATATATCACTTGTAAGAGCAATAAAGACTGTAAGATACATAGGAATATATTTGACAAAAGTTGTGCAAAAACTCAACAGATAACATTTTGAAGTATTTTTGAATGATATACAAAAGAATCTGAGTAAATGTTCATTGATAGGAAGAGTCAACATTGTAAACTGCCAAAACTACCCATATTAAGCTGTAAATATAGAAATGCAATTCCCAACCAAAGAAATAGAATAGGCGTATTATGCATATGTGGAAATTTTATATTTGACAGCATTGTCTTTACAAATCAGTTGGAAAAGAATGAAGGATGCATTAACTGGTTCTGGAATCATTATTCATACATGTGGAAAGAAATAAAATTAGATTCAGATATCAGAAAAGAAATAAATACCATGTGTAGTGAAGATTACTTGTGAAAAGCAAAACTTCAAATGGGCATTTCAATTTTGGGATACAAAGGTATTTCTTAAATAAGACATGAAAAGTATAAATGATAAAGAAGAAGATTAGTTAATTTTTCTTTGAGATGGAGTCTCACTTTGTCACACAGGCTGGAGTGCAGTGGCGTGATCTCAGTTCACTGCAACCTCCACCTCCTGGGTTCAAGTGATTCTCATGCCTTAGCCTCCCTAGTAGCTGAGGCTACAGGTGTGCGCCACGACGCCTGGCTAATTTTTGTATTTTTAGTAGAGACGGGGTTTTGTCATGTTGCCCAGACTGGTCTTGAACTCCTAACTTTAAGTGATCTGCCTGCCTTGGCCTCCCACAGTGTTAGGATTACAGGCGTGAACCACAGTGTCTGGCCAGATTAATAAATTTTATAACATTAAAATTAAAAGCCTACAGATTAGAAAAGTTATTCCCTACATATATAAAATTAAAATATTAATATCCAGAGTATTGTGTTAACTCCTAAAACTTAATACCTTAAAAGTAAATAAAGTGATGTGAGGCTGGGCACGGTGGCTCACACCTGTAATCCCAACCCTTGGGAAGGCTGAGGTAGGCAGATCACAAGGTCAGGGGTTCGAGACCAGCCTGACCAATATGGTGAAACCCCATCTCTACTAAAGATAGAAAAATTAGCCAGGTGTGGCGGCACACACCTGTAATCCCAGCTACTTGGGAGGCTGAGGCAGGAGAATCACTTGAACCCAGGAGGCGGAGGTTGCAGGGAATTGAGATTATACCACTGCACTCCAGCCTGGGCAACAGAGTAAGACTCCGTCTCAAAAAAAAAAAAAAAAAAGGTAAATAAAGTGGTATGAAATGGCAATATAATATTTTCTTAAATAAAAGTTGTTACTTGCAAAAGAATTAATTTCAGGATTTCTTATGGATAATTAGAAGGACAAGTAACTTACCTTCAGATAATGGAGCATGCGTTGTTTCATGGCTGAAGATTCTAAAGTATTTACTTCATTATTTTTGTATAGTCTTTAATAATATCTATAATATAAAATCATTTCCAAGTGCTTTGGGGATATATAATACTGAAAATGCATAAATAACAAATGCAAATTTACTTTATTTAGATGAAGCATCCTGACAAATAATCTTATACTGACTATATATGTCATATTAAAATTATTGATTATAGTCAACACACGTTGACTACTTACTATATGCCAGGCCCTTTACATATATTGTTTCAATTAAGTCTCACAAACAATCTTGTGACAGAGGTATTATTATTATTATTGAAGAGGAAACTGGGGTCTGGAGCAGTTAATCAGCTTTTCCAAACCACACCAGTTAGTAAATGCCCAGGCCAACTTGAACCCAGGACTATCTGCTTCCAATGCCCGTGCTCTTAACCACTTATTTTGTTTTTAGTGATACAGGGCAAATGCATACATGAAGAATCTTTTCTCAATCCTCTTCACTGTTTAAAAAATCATTTTCTCAGTCACAAATCTTGTTCTTAATCATTACTCTAATTTAAAAGATGAATGGACTTCAATCTAGACCCAAACAGAATATAGTTAGAAACTGGTTTTAGCTCATCCTCAGTGGGAGAATCTAGAAGAAATGTTTTCTTCTCTCAGTCTCAGAGTGTTTCCAGTGTCTTACACATGGACTGAAGTGACTAGTGATATTTATTGCAATGTATCATATGTAAACTCTTCGTTACATTCAAGAAGTGAAACTAACAATTCTGTATTTAGGAGTATGAAAGTCAGAAAGAGAAGGAGGTATCCATTTCAGATGTAAATTCTATTACAGCACAAAGGATTAATTCTGCCAATTTGCTGAAAAAGGTAACCACACAGTATCAGAAATATATTTGCATTTGTTTTTGTGAAAACTTGTCTACTAGATCCATGGTATTATAGTCCTTCCAGAGAGTCAGATGGACAAATCCGCTCACTCGTCACCTCTTTCAGATCTCTGAGGAGTTTTCTGTTCTTTTCAGACCTCTTGATGAGAGTTAGGTTACTTCATTGACAATGAACTCATTATTAAAGCACATCCCAAACTTTTCTGTTTAAACATAAATTTTAAAGACTTCCCATCTCTTCTTTGACTCTAAAAGTTCACCTTGAGAGATACCCCATCATTTTGCCAGAACCCCTGTATTTACTGGTGCCTCATGATGTCATGGACCTTAGCAATTCAGGAGATGAAGGGATGAAGGAGCTACCAGAGGCACACAGACAGTATTAGAAAAATAGATATGCTTTGAAACAAAGCCAAATAGTGAACGTTTACAAAACACTCTAGCAGAGCCTTAACTAGGTTTGAGTGGAATCCTTCGCTGGATTTCATGCCTGATTTCTGTCGACCCCTCATCATGCCACTAGACTTTGTTAGCTTAGTGCAGGGGCGACATCTACAGATCCTTAGTGCCTAGCATAGTATCTTATACTTAGAAAATGCTGATAAATGTTTGAGAAATTAATGAATTAAAGGATGGGAGCTGAGGTGGTTTCTACAACTCCTACAAAAGTAGACTCTCACCCACCTACATCTTCTTTGCTGTAGAGCACCAGAGCAGCCTTGCAGGGTAATTTGAAAAGAAGCAGGGAAAGCTACGGAAAGATCTAAGAGATACATTCGAGATCCCTCATGGGGACAGGTGAGAGACAACCGTGTATAGCTAGTAGACCCCCAGGCAGGTGTGTTCTAAAGACCTATTCTTACTACCCTGTGTGTCACCGGCAAGTAACCAAATCACTGAGTCCCACTTTATTTTTTACAAAAACGGACAATATTAATGCTTGCTTTGCTTTACATCCAATGTGAGGAACAAATGAGATCAAACTGCAGGTATTCCTCTAGTTCGTACACTATGACTGTGAGATGGAATGTGAACTGCTGTAGCTCTCCCAGGCATGAGACAGCCCCCTTTGTCACTGGCAGCTGTTTTTCCCACTCATCCCTGACTCTCTTACTTCTTTACTAGCTCGCTCTATTTTTTAAGTTGGGATGTGCTTTAATAGTGAGTTTGTGCTCTCGGGAAATAAAGAAGTGTTCTTGCTTATAAGAAAAGAGAACACATATCCTTCTTATCCTGTTTCTTCTTTTTTATGTAAGGAGAAACCCACGAGGGAGGGTAGCGGACGGTTAGGAAGGACATAAGAGAGCAAGTATCTGAGAAT